CGCCCCCCCCCCGCCGCTTCCCCCCCGGCGACGGGGGGGGTCCCCCCCCCCCCGGCGCGCGCGCCCCCCGCTGGCGGGGGGGGGGGTGCAGAGAAGCGCGCCCCCCTCCCTGGAAGCGATGTGCGCCTGCTCCAGGAAAGAGGAATCATCATACGGATCCACATGGATCATGGTGGCTCTCTCATGCCTACATGGACGGGAGACCGCCCGACCACTGGCCTGGGTGGCACTGCCACCGGTGTCGCTCGACGTCCTGTCGACAGCGTGCCGACAGCGACACAGACGATGTGGGACGCGTCGACCTCTACTGCTTACCCAGCCTTCGAGTGTATCCTGGCTTGTGGTCCCACACCCACCTGCTGTCCATCTCAGAGACCGCAGGAGGTCATGACCCTCATGAGGCAGGGTCGATGGGAGTGCCAACCCCACAATGCCTAACAACCCACAAGTATGTTACAAGCAAGCGAGAGAGAAGGGAGAGGGGGTTGTACGTACGTGCAAGTGTTGTTGCGAGAGAGAGTTCTGCGATTTACGATTTCTTTACGATTTCTTTCTCTCCCTTGGCCTTGCCTGTTCGGTTTTTAAAACTTGGAGTGCAGTCGGCAACCTCACACCCAAAAAAGAAAGAAAGAAAACAGACAACCCAAGGGAGGGATGGGAGGACGGCGCGCCGCCACCACACAGGGATTTTAAGGAGAGGTGTGTGGTGCGCTAGCCGTCGCCCACCCTAGGGAGTCTGCCTCTTCCTATCTCTCTTCGCAGTCTCTCGCCGATTCTCGCTGCAATCTTCATGCCACCTCGCGGTCGTCCCACTCTCGTCGTTCTCTCCCTTGTCATTTCCTCCTCTGTCGCGTCGTTCTCTTCTGCCTCGTCCTGTGACGCCGCCGCCTGCCGGTCCCTTGTTCTCGCGGCTTCTTTCGCCTTTCGGCGCAACTCCGTCCTCCTCGCGGCGTATCCTGGCCCCTCGAGTCTATCGAGCTCCCCTCGCGCAAGGACCACATTTCTGACTCCCACTCCGATCATTTGCCTCCAAGTCATGTTGTTGCTCAGGTCCACTCTCTCTTCGAACACTCGTGCCTCTACGGATGATGCCGGCGCTGGGGTCCCCTTCGGATGCATCGTGACATCTGACAACTGGATTTCCACTGGTTCGTCCTCCTCGGAGTCATCTTCCCCGTCCTCCTTCCGCTCGGCTCTCCGCTCGGTACGTTCGGCGTGGCTCACCCTCCATGCCGTGAACAGGCGCTTTATCCACCCTATATTCTTCTCTCGTTCCTCTGCCCGTGCCCTGGTCTTGTCGTTGTTTCGCACCCATGTCTGTATGGCAATCGAGGCTGCCTTCCCCACTACCTGTAGTTCACTCGTCACCTCTCCCGCGAGCTCCCTTCTCTTTCTTTCGGGTATGGAGTCCGTGAGTGCGGGTAGCGTGCAGGCAATCACGGGCGCTATTTTGTCGTACTCCTCTTCGGCGAGCGCTCCAAATCTAGACCCTTTCGCCTTTAAGGAGGCTGCCCTCGCTCGTCTCAGGAATGTGGCGGTGTCTTTTGAGTCCGGCGCCTCCCGTTCAACTCTTGCTGTCGCCCTCGCTGTGTGTTTGTCGAGCTTCCGCATGAAGTGACGCGCCTCTTCCTTATTTCCAGCGCAGCTGCCGCTCAGTATGTGCGCCAACGACGCCTGTGGTGGCTCACTGTCTTCTTGTTTCCAGTCGTCCCAGTCTTTCAGTTCCCCGCGTCTCCTCCTTGCCTCGCGCGCCTCTTTTGTGGCCTCATCCCTAGCCGCTTTGCACGCTCTGCATTCCCACACCCAGGGCCGAGGAGCGGACAGCGTATCTTTTTTTGTCAAGGAGAAGCTGGGTTGGCCGACCACCTTGAGGTCGAACTCTCTCGATCCTTTTCTACCTCTGCCTCCATGGTCCTCTGCCTCATCTACGCTGCTACCGCCGCGCCCGTCGCCAAGACAAGCGCAGACACGTCGCACGCCGGCGTCACCCAGCCCATCACGACCGGCGAGGCGCTGGCTTCGATCCCAGCGGGCCTCTCGAACGACGCCGTCGGGGCCTACGAGTCGAACCCGCTGTACTTTGACCCTCACCTCCGCGACCACATCAAGCTGACCGTGACCCCGTCCAATACTGGCTGTGGCTCCACCGGCAAGGAGCACATCCGCCCATTCTACGTCAACTCTGCGGCGGGCGACTCGGAGACGTTCCACTTTTGTGAGGACGGCACCTGCCACCTGACCCTTGAGCTGGATGGAGAGACCGCCCACAACGATGTGGGTTTCCTGCGGCTGCGCGGCTGCCCGCTGCACCAGGGCTACACCGTGCCCTACCTGCGGATCATGAAGTCGCTGCTGGCTTCCTTTGACGTCCTGCACATCGGCTACGGCGCCTGCGACCAGGGCGAGACGCAGTGCGAGATTGGCACAGACATCTCGTTGGCCCCCGGCGAATGCAAGACCCTCACGCATCCGTCGATCGACGACATCAAGTTTGACGTCTGCTACCAGGGACCTGGCACTTGGTAATCGCTTGTTGGCGTCGCCGGCGGCGCCGCGCCTGGGAGCGCGGTCTGGTCGCAACCACACGTCTCCGCCATGTGCGCATTAATCATCATGTGAGGGGGAGTGAATTGCATGGGGCTGGGTGCATGGAGCTGTCAGTGGGGAGCCGCGGGGGAGGTCATAGAGCTCTCCTTGCGGGACGCACACTTTTAAGTTATTTTTTTCGTATTGCACATATCTGCCTCGCTCCGCAAACAAACAAATAACACAAAAAATCAGAAATACGGCAGCCCCTGGCGGGCCGGCTGTGTTGGTCGATTCACTTCTCCGCGCCGTTTTTTCTTTCGAGCATGCGCTCGAAACACGAGAAACACAGAGAATTGCACCCTTTCGCCCTCTCATCACTGCCCCGGCCCACGACGACGCTCCCCATGCGCCATGGGGATCGGTGCCCGCGCGGACCACCGCAGTGAAGACGGGTCCCAGGCAGCGGGTCAGGTCAGACAGGGGCGCGAACGGGACGTCGGCCGTAGCTAGGGTCACAAAGAGACGCGACCGACACGTACTGCAGGAAGTCGACGGTCTTTGCCTCCGCAGATACGGTCATACGGAGCTGGCCCCAAGGGTGCGACCGCCTCGGATGGTCCCAAATCGCCCCACTGCAAGAAGACGGTCTCAGCCCTACCTGGCCATTCTAGATTATAGAATGGCATCCTTACATCTAGAATGGCGTCTCGCGCGCGCTCACCCGGCCGCCTCGCAGCCCCAGCGGCCGGGGGGCGCTTGCCGGGGTTGGGGCTGGTCACACACAGGCGCCACTTTAACGCGGCGAGCCAGAGGAGTCACACAGGAGAGCCCCCAACATGCCACATTTTCAGCAGCAGACGGGCCGCGGTGAGGGCCCATTCTGTATCGAAGAATGGGGTCCGCCGCCGTCCCCCACGGCCTTCTCACGCCCCCAGCGGCGGCGTGCCGCTCGGCCAGACTGGTGGGGTTCGCGCACAAGCCCCAGTTCAACACAGAGAGCCCAACAGTCCGCAAATGAGAGTCCTCCCCCCGCCCCCAAACCAGAGCAGACGCCGGGGGGTGCGCCACGTATGGCAAAAGCAAACGCACGATGGCCGCCGGCGGCCGTTGAGCGCTGCCGCCGTTCGAGCCTTGGATGTCAGTCCGTCGCCGCCTGTGGCGAGGGCAGTGGAGGTGTGAGATTTGTGCTCGCAAGTGGTGGGCGGGCGAAAGGGTCGGGGGCGGCGAAAGAGAGCAGACACGGCAGACAGCGCGAAATGCGGACTACTCGTATCACATCTACTCCTCGTGTCACCTAGTCATGGTCGTCGCTTCCCTGGCCGGTCTCCGAGTCCTGCTCCTCGCCCGAGTCCTCGTCCAAGTTCGAGTAGTCTTCCTCCTCTTCGTCCTCTTCGTCGATCTCGTCGAGCCGGCTCCTGGCCCGACGCCCGTGACGCTGGGGCCGACTTGCTACGCGCGCTGCGACCCGGACCGCCACCTCTGCTGCCGCCTGTGCTACCCGTAGTCCTTGCCGGCGAGCGAGTGCCTTTTGCGGGGCTGTCGCCAGAGCGGGTGTCGCCACGGCCGTCTTCTGATCTGTTTTGTGGTCTGCGGACTGCGCGCTGCGGGCTGCGCTCGAGGCGCGCCGCAACACAGCCCGTGTAAATGGGGTAATGGATAAACCAAGCATCCCCGATGGCCGGGGGGATGTCCCATGGCCCCGGGGTGGCCGTGGGCACGCAGGGGGCGCCGCTACGGGCCGCTGCGGCGCCCATTCTACTTCGAAGAATGCCATTCTTGAAACTAGAATCTAGGTCTGAGACCGAAGAGCTCGGGCACGGGGATTTGACGGGAGAGAAGTGCCTGGGCGCAAGCCGTCCGGAATGCGTCCTCATCCACATATGTGAGGCGCGCAAGATGCGTACCAACTGGCTGGGTCAACTCCCCTGACCGAGCGTGCCAATTGGGTCAAGAACAAGCCACAAACGGCTTACGCGCGCCTAGCTCCGCGGACGGCCCCTCCACCCTTCATGTACGGATCATATAATCCCCACAGTCGCTGTCGTGGGATCGCTTCCCATGTGAGATTCTCTTTTTGCACGGCACTGGGAATTCTCTTTTTGGGAGAGAGAGAGACTTGTCTTGTCTTTTGGTGGTGTAGCACCTGTGTTAGTGCCAGTGCGCGCCAGTCCCGTGCCCAGTAAAAGAAAGAAAGAAAACAGACAAGCAAGGGAGGGATGGGAGGACGGCAAGGTGAGGAAAAGCCAGGCTCTACTGTACCGTAATAGAAAGAAAACAACTCCCGAGGGAGACTGGTGGTCGCGGCACGAGGGCAGCCTTGCTTTCGCTGCGGGGTCGCTGCCTCGCTGCCTCTGCGTGGCCGCCTCGCCATGGCCAAGAAGATGCCCACCAAGGGCGCCAAAGCCAAAAAGGGCGCCGCCGCTCGCACGGCCTCGCGCGGCAAGGGCAACGCTCGCAACAACCCGCGAGCCTTCAAGGCGGCGTCGGGCCCAAAGGCCATGCAGCGCTCGGCGCACCGCGCGCTCGAGAAGCAGGAGCGGCAGTACCACGTGGCGCTCACTGACCGAGCGGTCGAGGTGGCGGTGCAGCCTCCCATCGTCGTCGCCGTCGTCGGTCCCGCCGGCGTCGGAAAGTCGACCGTGATCCGCTCGCTCGTCAAGCACTGGACCAAGCAAAACCTCAAGGAGACGCACGGGCCGGTGACGGTGGTGACAGGCAAGTCCCGCCGCGTCACGCTCATAGAGTGCCCAAACGACCTCAACGCGATGTGCGATCTCGCCAAGGCGACGGCCGCCGCCGCCGCCGCCGCCATAGCCGCCGGCCGCCGGCCGCTGAGCTGTCGCCTCCGTGTGTCAGGTGGCGGACCTTGTCCTGCTGGTGGTGGACGGCGCGTACGGGTTCGAGATGGAGACCTTCGAGTTCCTCAACATGTGCCAGGTCCACGGCTTCCCGCGCGTGATGGGCGTGCTCACGCACCTCGACTCCTTCACCAACGCCGCGGCGCTGCGCCGCGCCAAAAAGACGCTCAAGCACCGGTTCTGGACGGACATCTACGACGGCGCGAAGCTCTTCTACCTGTCGGGGCTCAAGCACGGCCGCTACCCAAAGGCCGAGATCACCAACCTCGCCCGCTTCCTCGCGGTGATCAAGTTCCGCCCGCTCATCTGGCGCGCTCCACACGCCACCCGCTAGCCGCCACACGCCACGCGCCACGCGCCTCTCCTCCTCTCCCTCGTCTCACGCCTCACCCTCCTCACGCCTCTCCCTCCTCTCCCTCCTCACGCCCCTCTCGCTGCCCCTCCGCCTCCGCGCCTCCGACCCCACACCCCAACCCCACCACCCCCACGCAGGCGCAACACCCACCCCTTCGTCCTCGCCGACCGGTTCGAGGACGTCACCGAGCCGGCCGCCCTTGCGAGGGTGTCCGGAGTAGCCGAGATGGGACGAGATGAGGACCGAGAGGAGTAGGTTCCCGCTCTCGCGAGGCAGATCCGCCGATCGTGTTCGCCGATAGTGTTCGCCGAGCGGGGGCCGCCACCGAGCGGATGCGATTCCTGACTGGTGCGCCATCCAACCCGCGCCATCCACCCCGCCGACAGGACGAGCTCGTCGAGCGGACGGTGAGCATGTACGGCTGGGTGCGAGGCACCTTCCTCCTCCCAGGCTCGCGACCTCCCGCCCTCGAGCTGTGCACAGCGTCTCCCCACGCCCCCACACCCCCCTCGGGCCGTGAGCAGGCATGCGCGTCCACCTCCCCGGGGTCGGAGACTTCGCCATGTCCGAGGTGAGTGCGCTCGACGACCCGTGCGCTCCTCCCGACCGCACCACCCGCCGCCGGCTCGACTCCAAGGACAAGCGGCTGTACGCGCCGATGTCCAACCTGGGCAGCAGCCTCGGAGTGCGGCGGCGCGAGGCTGGAGGCGGGCGCCCCCTCGACTCGCCGGTGTCTGGTGCGGCCTAGGCGATCTGACGTACGACCGCGACGCGGTGTACGTCAACATCCCGGACAGCGCGATCCGCTTCTCGCAGGGCAAGGGGGTGGCGGGCGAGGGCGAGGACGAGGGCGGCGAGGGCGAGGGCGGCGGCGACGGCGGCGGCGAGGAGGGCGGCGAGGTTGGCGGCGAGGACGTGGCGATGGTCAAAGGGCTGCAGCGGGTTGGGGAGGCGGCCGGCCTCGACGAGCAGCTGCGAGGGGCGAGCCTGCAGCTCTTCGCGGGAGGGGCGGCGATCGAGGGCGGCGGGGGCGGGGGCGAGGGCCAGGGCGGCGGTCGCGTGCGCAGGCCGGTCCAGTTCGGAGATGACGCGGCCGGTCCGGCTGGGCTGCCGGCTGGGCTGGGCCGCGCACGGGCGCTCGCGTACGAGTCTGGCGCCGAGGGGTCGATGTGGGAGGGTGGCGACGCTGGCGACGGCGAGGGGGGCCTGGCGGAGGAGGGCAGCGAAGACGACGACGACGACGACGACGACGACGACGACGACGACGAGGAGGAGGAGGAGGGAGGGGAGGGCAGCGGCGAGGAGGGCGGCAGCGACAGCGGCGAGGAGGAGGGCGAGGAGGAGGAGGAGGAGGAGGGGGCGGAGTGGAAGCTTGGCCTCGCCGAGCGGGCGGCGGCGGCGCACGCGGCGCGGAGGACCGATTGGGGCAAGCTCGTGTACGGAGGCGGCGGTGCGGGGGCGGTGCGAGGCGGCGAGGCCTCCGCTGCGGCAGCTGGCGAGGGCGAGGAGGAGGGGGAGGAGGAGGAGGAGCTCCTGCTCCCCAAGGGGACTCTCGCGGCACGGGAGGCGCAGCGCGCTCGCCGTCCCGCCCGGCAGGGCTCCGGCGGCTCCGGCGGAGGCCTCGACTCGCGCGGCCGACACGTCCCCGACGCGCCCCTCGCACCGCGGCACGCGCCCCTGACCCGTCCCGGACGCGTCCCGTAGGCGTCGGTTCGCTCGGCTCGCTCGGGCCGCTCAACCCGCTCTGGGAAGGGTTCGAGCACGACGCGGCCGCGCTCGACTGCTCGCGGCCGCCGCAGCGCCGCGCGCCGCGCCGCGACTGGACCGGGCCGGAGCAGCGCGAGAGCGTGATTGACCGTTTCGTCACGGGCGACTGGGGCGCGAGAGCCGGCGGTGGCGCCGACGCCGACGGGGGAGGCAGCGAGTGCGGGTCGGACGAGGGCGGGTTTGAGGACCTCGAGACTGGCGAGGTGGCGGGCGAGGGGGGCGGCGACGGCGAGGACGACGACCCGGAGGCGGCGGAAGCGGCCGAGGCGGAGGCGCGCCGGCAGCGCAAGCTTCAGAAGAAGGTTCGATTCGATTCGGGGTACGACGACGGCGACGCAGAGGGCGGGGGTGAGGAGGGCGAGGAGGGCGAGGAGGGCGAGGAGGGCGAGGAGGAGGAGGAGGGCGGCGGCGGCGGCGGCGGCGGCCGTGGCCGCAGCGGCACGTCTGCGCTGCGGCCCGGGCAGGAGCTCTTCGAGGAGGAGGCGGGCATGGTGGTGTGAAGAGACTCTCTTCACACCTGCAGCTGTGAACAGGAGCTCTTCGAGGAGGACCCGTGGATCGTCGAGCAGCGCAGGCAGCAGGCGGAGCAGCGGAGGAGGAACCGAGAGCTGACTGAGTCGCTCGCCTCGCTGCCTCCGGACGAGCGCGCGGCGGTGCAGGGTTACGCGCCGGGCTCGTACGTGCGCGTGGTGCTCACGCAGGCGCCTCGCCACCTCCTCCGGGTGGACACGTCCACGGACACGTCCACGACCCGTCCTTGACTAGTCCACGGCGCGTGCGTCAGGTGCCGTGCGAGTTGCCGCGCAATTTCGAGCCGCGCTTCCCGCTCGTCCTCGGGGGGCTGCTATCGGGCGAGGAGCGGCTGGGCCTCGTCTCGATGCGCGTCAAGAAGCACCGCTGGCAACGAGGAGTCGCTCCCACGTCGTGCTGCAGAGGAGCTGTCTCTGAGCCTCCTCCGAACCGCCCCGGCGTAGGCACAAGAAGGTGCTCAAGTCGCAGGACCCGCTCACTTTCTCCGTCGGCTGGCGCCGCTTCCAGAGCCTGCCGCTCTACTACGTCCAGGACCCAAACTTGCGGCTGCGGCACATCAAGTACACGCCCGAGCACATGCACTGCCTCGCAGCCTTCCACGGGCCGCAGGCGCGGACGCCGCGGCGACGGCCACGCGCGACGGCCACGCTGCACCCGCCCCCGCCCCACTCTCCTCTGAGCGGGGGCCCCGCCGGCTCGGCTGCAGGTGCCGCCAAACACGGGCGTGCTCTGCTTCCAGACGGACGCACGCAAGAGCTTCCGCATCTCCGCCACGGGCGTCGTGCTCGAGGTCGCGGCGAACCTCAAGGTGGTCAAGAAGCTGAAGCTGGTCGGCTCGCCGTTCAAGGTCTTCAAGAACACCGCCTTCATCAAGGACATGTTCACCTCCGCGCTCGAGGTTGCAAAGTTCGAGGGCGCCGCCCTCCGCACCGTCTCGGGCGTGCGCGGCCAGGTCAAGCGCGCGCTGCAGGCCGACGACGGCACGTTCCGCGCAACCTTCGAGGACAAGCTGCTCCGCTCCGACCTCGTGCTGCTCAAGGCTTGGGTGCCCGTCCCGCTGCCGACGCTGTACAACCCCGTCTCCAACCTGCTCGCGCCGCACGGGCGCGGCTGGCTGCGCATGCGCACGGGCGCCGAGGCGCAGCGCCGAGCTGAGAGACGAGTTCAAGAGACGAGTTCAAGCCGCGAGCGGCGCCTCCTCACTCACACTCCCACCTCCCGCCGCGAGCAGGTGCGCGCCGAGCTGGGCGCCGCGCCGCGCGTCAACGCGGACTCGCTGTACAAGCCCATCGAGCGCGCGCCGCGCCGCTTCAACAAGCTGGCCGTGCCAAAGGCGCTGCAGGCCGCGCTGCCGTACAAGTCCAAGCCGAAGCTCGACGCTCCCTCCGCCGCGAAGAAGCCGCGCAAGGGGTCGCTCAAGGCGCTGCGCGCCGTCGTGGCGGAGCCGGAGGAGCGCGCGGCGGCCAAGCTGATGCAGCAGGTGCACACCATGTACAACGAGCGCGAGCGCAAGCGCAAGCGCTCCATGGAGGCGCGCCGCGGCGCGTCGAGAAGGACGGCGTGTCCCGGACGAGCCTCCGACATGCCGTGGACGCGTCCCGTAGGTGCGCCGCGCCGCGCACGCCAAGAAGGCGGCGCGCGAGGAGGGCGAGAAGGCGGCGGCCACCAAGCAGGTGCGCAAGAAGCGGTACGTGAAGCAGGGCCTCGAGGAGAAGAAGCGCTCGCGCGGCGGGGCGGGCGGAGATGCGGACGATTGAGCGGTGGAGCGAGCGTTTTTTACCGGCGCGGCCGCGGGCCGGCGCGCGGCGGTGACTATATGTCGCTTTTCGTTTCTGTGTGGTTTTATTCATTGGCATGTGATGCGGTGTTGTCAGCGTACGGGTTACTTCGAATTGTGTGATTGGATAGAGGGCAATACAGTCTCATGGCTCATGTGCTCGCGCACAGATCACACGCACTGACATGGACGAGAGAGATACACGACTGCGTCACTGGTCCAACTCCACGCTGCACACACTGCTCGGTGCTCGCCTCACCCCTCAGCCTCACCGTACCCTGGGAGCTGGGTGAGCCGCGCCTAGACGACGTATGGCAGTATGAGTAGGTTGCCCAAGTTTGCAAAGACATGCACCCCGCAGTGCACGCGGTGACCAGCGAGCACCGCTCCTCGCACGGTCAGGATGCGACCACACGCGTAGCAGGCGCCGCCGGCAGTGTATCCGGCGAGTATAAGCGGGAGAGCTCGCCCACTGCAGTATCGCCACGCAAGGAGGACCTGCACCGCCATGCCGACTCGCACCGCGAAGAGGTCGACTGTGCGGCGCAGGCTCTCCTTGATAGGGTTGGACCAGTAGATCACGGAGGACGCAAGGACAGCCGTCGGCCCAATGCCGAACGGCACGTAGACGCCACGCCGGCACGCCTCGCTCACGCTGAAGCTCGTCAGCAGCGACGAGGCGAAGCATGGGTTTGCGAGACAAGAGCGCGGGCGGAGGGGCTGCCAGTCGGAGGAGCCGAGATCGGTGAGCAGCGAGCTGAGTCGGCCGACGGGCGGCGACTCCGCTGTGATGCGGGAACAGCGAAGAGAGCTGTGCTCAACACCGAGCGTGCTAAAACGAGTCGACAAAATGCTAAAAGCGAGGCTGGTGGCCAGGTTGAGCATGCCAGAGAGTTTATGCCACCCAGGCCAGCCAGGACAGGGGCGGGGGGCGAGGGCGGAGGGCGGGATGGGCGCCAAGCGGGAGGGAGCGAACGGAGTGGAATGCACACATGGGGGATGGTGAAGGCGGAGGGGCAGAAAGGGGGGAGGGCGGCGGGAGGGCGGAAGTTGGCGTGGGTGGGCGGTGGGTGGTTCGGTAGGGCGGGGGGGAGGGGGAGGGGTGGAGGTGGAGAACGGTGGGGGCGACGCTGCGACCTTCATGCCACCCCGCGGTCGTCCCACTCTCGTCGTTCTCTCTCTTGTCGCTTCTTCCTCTGTCGCGTCGCTCTCCTCTGCCTCGTCCTGCGACGGCGCCGCCGCCTGCCGCTCCCTTGCTCTCTCGCTGCTCGGCGCAGCTCTGCCCTCCTCGCGGCGCATATTTTGGCCCCTCGAGTTTATCGAGCTCTCCTCACGCAAGGACGACTCTTCTGACGCCCACTGAACCAAGAGTCCTGTTTGGTAGCGCTACCCAACGCGGCCAAAGGATATCCACCTCGAGAACCTCGAGAACCTGTTTGGTAAATCGCACGTTTTCTTGTGTCCTCCGACGACTCCTCAGTCGCCGCGTGGCATGCAGAATTCGCGCGGTTTTGTCCCTCCTGAGGCTGAGCGCATTCGAGCCCGTCGACCGGAGTTGGATGGTACCACGCGTCTCACTGAGACGCGGGGTACTGGCCATGGCCGGGCTACGGAGCGTGAGGTGGCGAGCGGAGCGAGCGACAAAACAACGAGAAAAACACGGATCTGAGGATTGTCACAAAACCTCAGATCTTGCGCCACCCAGGGCTGGACCTAGTCTCCACTAGCTCCGAGTAGAGGGGGCGTTCTGCAGTTAAGGGGAAACCCGGTACACGGAGCCCTCTCGGAGACCCGTGTTTACTTTACGGCCCTTTCCCTGCGAACGCGCACCCCCGGGGCTAGGGCTCTCTTGCCCGTAACCCGACACCGATCATCCGGCCCGCTGGGTGCGCTTCTGAGCTCCCCGGCCCTGGATGTGAGGTTAATGACCGCACTCCAAGTGCTCCAAGCCGTTGTGGGGCTTGTGAGTCTCTAGAGTATTTTTCTGGGTTTTTTATCACTAAATGATCTACTGTGCAGGATATGCGACGGTCCGTGGCATCGTGGGATAATTTGAGGTGCACCTGTGCATGTTCTCTGGGCAACAGCATGAGGTGCAACATGTTCTCTGGGCGCCACCGCAGACGCGAGCGCGCGAGCGCGTGTTGAACCGGACGCTCCATAGCAACTCGTGTCACGTCTACGACGACGTGTCACGCCGTCGCGCCAATGGTGTATATGGTAGCATAACGCGCCTCGCCGCTGTGTCAACGCGTCGGGCCGGGCGCGTGGTGAGGCTGTTCCTTGCTGCAGCGCGCCGGCGGCGGCGGGCCCCCAGCTCTCCACACGGCCGGTTGCCGCGTGGTGGTCCCGGCTACTCGCGGGCACGCCCTCGCGCCCCGTCCCTTCCCCCTCTCCCTCGGCTGCTTCACCGCCGCGCCCCCCTGCCCGCGGCGAGGGAGTAGCCGCAGCGAGGCAGCTCCTCGATGCCGCTCGCCCAGCGGACGGAGCCCGCGTTGACCTCGCAGACGAGGCAGTGCACCGACAGGTTCTCGGAGAGCGAGTCCTCGTTGCCAAACGGGTCGAGGAACGACTTTGAGAGGGCGAGGAAGCCGCGGAAGAAGACGCAGAGCAGGCCGACCAGCGGGATGGTGAAGACGCCGACCTTTGCATACAGCGCGAGGGGGGCGAGCGCGACGAGGCAGTCGACCAGGATCTGGACCAGGTGCACGTACGCGAGAGGCATGCGCGCGGCGGCGTCGTCGCCGATCGAGGCGCAGACGGCGCGGAGGGCGAGGGCCTTGTCGAGGAAGACCGTCTCCATGCCGGCGCCGCCCTGCAGCAGCGCGCCCTGCCGCGCCTGGACGAAGCGCGCGCAGATCCACTCGAGCACGACCTGCAAAAGAGGCGGAGGACGGGTCGGCGGCCACCAGGGACGCCTCACCAACGGGCGACAGCAGCGAGATGGAGAGGGCCGAGTGGCGCTGCGTCTCCGAGACGCGGTACGACTCGCCGACGAGCAGCTCGTACTCGTCGCGCGTCAGGTGCTCCCGCTCGCACAGCCGCGAGAGGCCGCGGTCCGTGCGCAGCACCGAGAGGGAGGCGCCTTGGGGCGTGTCCCCGGACGTGTCGTGGACGTGCTGCGGGCGGCGCGGCGCAGCGCCGAGAGTGCGAGGCGCCTTCGTCGGCGCGCGCTGGCCGGACCTGGCCCGCCCAGAAGAGGATGTGGAAGAGGCGCACCCAGCGAGCCATCTCGTCGAGCAGCGCGCGCGCCCGCTCGGTGAAGCGGCCCTGCTCGTCCCGCTCTGCGTGCGTGGCGAGCAGGCAGGACAGGTCGTTGAGCCGGCCCTGCACCTTGCGGGTGTTGCCCTTGTTTGCGAGCCAGAAACCGTACGACTGGGAGAGGAAGAAGGAGTTGATGAAGGTCGCGAACGTGAGCACGTAGCTCCACGCCCGCTCCAGGCCGAGCAGCTGCGCCACCGCCTTCTCATGAGGCACTCCAAACTTTGGCCAGTCGCGCCCGTCAGACTCCATGTAGTGGACCGTCGCAAAGGCGAGGACCATCGCGAGGCAGGCGGGCTTCCACGTGTGCTGCAGCACCGTCCCGTGATACTGCCGCCACAGCCACGACGCCTGCGGGTGGAACTTGGCAAAGAAGCGAGGCCCGCCGCCGAGTCGGGTGAAGCGGTCGATGAGCTCGTCGATGTCGGAGTCGTCCACGTGGCGCATGGTCTCGGCGAGGCGCCGCTGGGTGCCCCACTCGGTGCGGATGTCGGGCGTGGCCATTCGCAGGGTGAGGGGTGAGGGGCGAGGAGATGGGCGCAAGAGGAGATGGGCGCAAGAATTTTGAGGCCGGAAAAATTGCGGACAGCGGCATGGTACTGACCCGCCAAAACGGTATGTCGGTGGAGTGCTCTCTACTGCCGCGGCGCCCCTGTCGGTTCGGAGGCGCCCGGCGGCCGCGCGCTTGGTGCCGACGTCGACCGGCTGCTCTCGCGGCGCCGAGGCGTGCAGCTTCGGTCACGTCTCGCGCGCTGCGAGGTGTCTTTTGGCATGTGAGCGCTGGCTAGAGACGCCAGGAAGCTCGGCTTCCATGCCTGCGACCGCGGGCGTGCGGGCGGGCACGCCAGGCTCGGCGACGCTCTGCGCGGGTCTTGTCGAGCTCGCGGCCCGCGACGAGCCAGCATGGCTCGTCGCTCGACGGCAGCCTGCTCAGAATGCTCTCGGCATTCTGCACAGCCTCGCCAAGCTCTCTGGGAAGGTCCGCAGGGCCAGGGCGGGCCGTATCGGGCGCGATGGCGCGCTCGGAGTACCATGCCTACGAGCTCTCCGGTCGGGTCGCCGGCAGCGGGCTCGCGCGGCGCGCCGCTCGACGGCAGGCTGCTCCCCACCCTTTCAACAGCATCTTCTGCCTCGCTTCTCTCGCTGCGACCGCCTCCGGGGGCCTGCGCCGACCGCCTCGCTTCGCCACAGCGCTGCCTACGACTGCGACACGCACGTCGGCTCGCCGCCCGCGTCGCCCGCAGCGGGCCCGCATAGCGCGCCGCTCGTCGGGGGAGTGCCAAGGAGGTTGTGGAGTGCAGGCTGCCTCGCTCAGACCGCCGCCGACGCGGTGCGGGGCCGCCGTCGGCGCTGCTGCCGGGCTCCTGCGCTGTGGGCTTCCGGGCTCGGCTAAAAAGCAAAGGACGGGCGCTTTTGATCGGCAAAGCAAAGTTGGAGTAACGGCGACCGCGTCGCCACAATGCTAGTCGCCTGTCGAGCAGCCTTGGCGGCGCGCATGCGCCGCAGGGTTGACCGACAGCCGCGCGCCTCGCGAGCCTCTCGCTCCACTCGCGGCACGACGCACCCCGCGCGTCGGTCAGCGCAACAGGAGTATTGCGACATGCTGCACAACGCCAAGGACAGCATTGAGAAGCTGGCGCCAGTCGCCCACCAGCGTGTCTCAGCACCGGGTGAGGGAGCATGCTGCGCACGCTGATGCAGCACGAGGTCACCACCAATCAGGCCCTCACGCCACCGCACGGCCGCCCTCGAGCACCAGCAGCCGCGCTGCGCAATGCTCAAGCTCAGGAGGCCCCTCTGCTTCTCGCAGCTTTGTGCAGCGCAGTGAGCGAGCAGCGCCACACCCGGCGGACCCATGGCGTGCTCAGCCAGCCGCGAGGCGGAGGCAGGCCGAGTGAGCGCGAGCCGCGCGGGAGGCCATGCCCTGCGCACCGGCGAGAGAGTGGCACGAAAGAGTGCAAGTGAAAGAGTGCAAGTCGCATGCGCATAAAGAAAGAAAGAAAGAAAGAAAACAGACAACCCAAGGGAGGGATGGGAGGACGGCACGCCGCCACCACACAGGGATTTTAAGGAGAGGTGTGTGGTGCGCTAGCCGTCGCCCACCCTAGGGAGTCTGCCTCTTCCTATCTCTCTTCGCAGTCTCTCGCCGCTTCTCGCTGCAACCTTCATGCCACCTCGCGGTCGTCCCACTCTCGTCGTTCTCTCCCTTGTCATTTCCTCCTCTGTCGCGTCGTTCTCTTCTGCCTCGTCCTGTGACGCCGCCGCATGCCGGTCCCTTGTGAGCATGCGCATGCTTTTCGGCTTTTTTTTTCTTTTTTTCCGAGTGCTGGTCGCGAGTCCACCGCACACGACATGCTGCTTCGCACCGCCTTGCTAGTCGTGGCCGCCTCGGCTCAGCAGCAGGCTTATGTCGATCCGCACGGGGCGGCGGGCGAGCCGCTCGCGGGCGACCTCAACGGGGATGGCGTGCTGGACGAGTATGAGCTGCGGCAGATTGAGCAGGCGACCAAGTCGTTGACGGAGAGCTTCCGCGCGCAGGTTCGGCAGCAGCTCGCCTCGCAGTACGTGGCGCAGAAGACCGGTGGCTCCAAGCTGGCGGATAGCCGCATCGCCTCGCAGGTTATGCCCTCCGTCACACGCCCTCCGTCACACGCCCTCCGTCTCTCCCGCCGGTGACGGGTCCGCTGCGAGTGCACAGGCCGCCGGCCTGCAATTCGCCGCCGCAAACAACCAGCTGGAGGTTGTCGCACGGCTGCTCGCGAGCGGCGCCGACAGAACGCCGACCCGCGCCGCTCCGCAGCCCGCCGTGAGCCTTGCACGAGCTCTGCTGTTAGGCGCCGACCCGAACGCCAACCACCCGTCGGGGATGGGCCTCACGCCCCTGCACGCGGCCGTGGAAGGCGGGCACAAGGACCTCGTCGACTTGCTGCTCGAGCACAACGCGACGATCGACGCGCGCGCCTCGGACGGCTCGACGCCGCTGCACGTTGCGGCACGAAAGGGCCACGCCGCCGTCGCGGAGCTACTGCTGCGGCGCGGCGCGCCGGTGGGCCCATCCCCGCACGCGAGACGTGTGATGGACGTGCCGTGGACGTGTCAGGTACGGGGCGCCGGTGAGCGCCGCGGCGGCGGGCGGGCTCGCGCCGCTGCACCACGCGGTAGAGACATAGCCGAGATGCAGCCGAGATGCAGCCGAGATGCAGCCGAGATGCAGCCGAGATGCAGCCGAGATGCAGCCGAGATGCAGCCGAGGCATGGCTGGGCTCGGCGGCGGTGCTCCCTGACACGTCCACGACACGTCCCGCAGGCGGAGATGGGACACTCGGTGGTGGTGCAGTACCTGCTGGCGGCGAACGCGTCGGCGGACGCGCGAGCGCAGGACGGGCGCACTCCGCGCCACTTCCACCTCGGCTAGATCTCGGCTAGATCTCGGCTAGATCTCGGCTAGATCTCGGCTAGGTCTCGGCTAGATCTCGGCTAGATCTCGGCTAGATCTCGGCTAGATCTCGGCTAGATCTCGGCTAGATCTCGGCTAGATCTCGGCTAGATCTCGGCTAGATCTCGGCTAGATCTCGGTAGGACGGGAGCACGCCGCTCCACTTTGCGGCGCGGGAGGGGCACGCGTGGGTGGTGGAGGCGCTGCTGGACGCCGGCGCCCGAGCCGAGACCTAGCCGAGATCAGCCGAGATCTCGTGATCTAGACACGGCCGAGACGTGGCCGAGATGTAGCTGAGATTGGGCCTAGGCAGAGCCGAGTTAGAGCCGAGAGCGCTGGCGGCCAGATCACGCTGCGGTCGTAGAGGCTAGAGTGGAGGCGGGCCTCGCTCAGGCGGCGCGGTGCTGTCGCTTCAGGCGCCGAGGCGGACCCGCAGGACGAGTCGTCAACGCGGCCGCTGCTCTGGGCGCATGCGGCGGGCCACGACGAGGTTGCGAGGCTGCTCCTCGAGGCGGGGGCGGCCGAGGTGCAGCCCGAGGAGGAGGAGAACCCGCGCCTGCGAGGGCCAAAGGTCAAGGTTGGCGTGCAGTCCACCTCCTTCATGGTCGAGGGGTGAGGGCGAGGGACGACCCTGCCCCACCTGTGCTCCACCGGCCAGGAAACGGGCCCTACACGGGAGGGCACCGTCTTGTCGCCCCTCCGAGCCGAGTCTCTCCGACGGGGCCGCGGGGCCGCGGGCAGGGCTGGGCCTGTCTCGCTGTAACTAAGGCGGCGCGCGGGTATTGCGTTCTGTCTGCGCGTGATGTAGAGTCTCTCTTGCGCCTTGCGGGCCGTTCTCACCCGGCTGTCCGCACTCTTCCTTTTTCGAGCGAAGCGACCCCGGGTGTATAAATAAATAAAACGGACACCTCTACTAGGAGATGGGTAAAAAGGAACAGGTCCCCGCCCTGCGGTCTTTGCAGGGTTCTTTGTGGGTGTGGTCGGCGACTAGCCGGGGTCGTCCTCCCGATGGGGGACTAGCACTAGCCGTCTTCCACCTGGTCCCTCGGGTCCCTGCTGCTCCTAACCTCTTCGTACATCCTCCTGCTGATCTCAGCAACATCCTGCTCCCTCCCTCGTCTCGCCCTGCGCGTCTGCTCCGCCTCCCCGTCGTCTGCCCTGCGTCGTCTGGTGACGGGTCCTCCGTAGTCGGTCGAGGTCGCCGCCCTCCTCGTGCCTCTTCCCAACGTTTCCTCGGCGGCCGATGCCGTCTGCTCCGACTCCGCCGTCCCCGGGTCTGCCCTGCCCTCGTCTGCGCTAGCTTCTGTTTCGTCATCACTGATGTCCGTCCTCTTCTTTCTCCTCTTATTGTATGCTTTGTACATCGCGTCGATTCCTTTTCGCGTGAGCACCAGCCTGAAGCCCGCCCAGCAGCTGAACCGCTCCCTAAGTCGAAGGAGCATCATCAGTCTCACCCACTTCGCTCGCTGCCCACTGTCACCGCTCCCTCCCGCTTGAGCCGCCGTCGCGGCCCTCGTTCGTCCCACTGGCTGCTGGCCTGTCTGCACGTTACCTCCGTTATCCCTCCTCCTCCGCGACTCCCTCAAGGCCGGCCGAGCCTCCTTCCACCCAGTGAAGAGCTTCCTCAGCCACTCGATGTGTTCCTCTCTCTTCATTATGCGCGCCGTAGCCTCATCATTGAGCTGGATCCACCTCTGCACCGCTCCCGTCGCCGCCTCGGCCACGACTTGCAAGTTCCTCGTGACCCCGGCGCCAAGGCCCCGGGTGTGTGTGTGGATAGAGAATAGAGTTAGAGTATGTGCCGGAGAGAGCGGCCCGGCCGCCGGGGCCTGGGCCCGGGGCGGCGCGGCGCGCGGGAGAACGTCCGCGCCCCGTGCGCCCCGTGGCCGTGCGGGACTTCCATGCCGCATTCGTGCGGGTGCGCCGCTGAGCGACGACCGACGAGCGGCAGCGCGCCAGGCGGGGACCGGGGGGAGCGCGGGGAGCCGGGGAGCGGGGTGAGGGCGTGAGGCGTGTCGCGTCTCGCGTGACACCTCGTGACACCAGCCAGCAGGAGCAGCCTGTCTCCCCGCTGTCCCTGTCGTATGACGTAGCAGCTTTTGTGGACGCAGCAAAGGGTAACGGAGCGTGTACACATAGGACATAGAGTACAGTCCCCAAAAGCCAGGGCTATGTTCCACGGACCACGCATCGCTGGCCCGTCCAGACATGCGTCAGCTCCCACACTCCCCCGTCCAGACGAAATTCGCGTTCCATCCACCGCGCCACCGCGCCACATGCAGAACGATGCACACACATCCATGCACGGACGGCGAGAGCCGCACGCAGCATGTAACAGCATGCCATGGGCGAGGCATGGCCCTACCAATCCCGGCTCCCCACGACTGCCGTCCGACACGGGACAGGCTACCTCTGTCCGACTGCTACGTGCCTAAAAGACTACCCCGCCCCCCTCCCCCCTCGCCTCAGGCTCGCTCCCCTCGCCGCCCCGCCTTCTTGGCTGCTGCTGGGGCGGCGTGCGGCGGCCGCTCCTTCTCATCCACCTCGTGCAGCATCGCCATGAACTGGTCGACCTCGTCGTTCTGGTTGAAGACGGGCTGTATGTGCACCTGGGGAGGGGACCAGGTCCCGGACGGGTCATGGGCGTGGCTGTAGACCGGGCTGCAAGCGCACGCGGTCGGGGAAGCTCTGTTGGCGTCCTCCCGGCGTCTACTCTCGGCCGGACGCGTGCGCCTGGTTGAGGAAGCGCGCGCCGCCCTTCTTGTAGTTGACCAGCGTGGCGGATGAGCTCTCGCCGCGCCGCACGCTCGCCATCAGCTCGGAGAGGAGCGCCTACGGGGCGGCGGCGGCCGCACCTCACCCTCGCCGCCCCAACGCCCTTCCCAAGAGCGCCGCCCCGCGGTCGCGCCTCGTCCGTCTCTGCGCCCTGCAGAATCGAGCTCGAGAGCCCCTCGACCTCCTCGAGGGTGTAGCCGCACATCTCGCACCTGCCCGACGGGGGGGAAGGGGCGGGGGCGGGGCGTCGCGTCGAGGCGCCACCACCTCCACCGCCACCAGTGGCAGCCGCCGCCTCCTCCGTCACCTCCGTCACCCCTCCCCGCCCCCAGGAGAGTAAGCATAACAAGAGGATACTTTTGCCTGAATTAAAGAATTGGGCCTTGCTCTACTTTTTGTCAAAAGTGGATATAATTATGAGGGTACCTTTTTCTAACCT